GTAAATTGGCAAAGCAAATGGCATTTCTGCAAGGAAGTTGTAAATCTGCTGCCAAATAGAATTGTGAGCGGGTCGAGTGCAAAAGCGTTCATTAAATCCGAGTCCCTCTGCAGCACAAAAAGAGCGAAAAATGAGCGAAACTCTTGACAGGTAGTCAGAAATAAATACCCTTTCAAGAAATATGATTTTTGAAGTTCTAAGATTCCAACAAAAAGAAGGATAACGAGTAAGGTTTGCTAAACTAAATCATTTCATTACTGTGTATCATTGAAAACTAATATATAAGTTTGAATAAAAAAGATAATATATATAGTTTTAATTTATTTAAGTATTCCCCGATAAAGATAGTCAGTAATAAAAGTTTTATTTTATGACCCATGTCATTAGAGTAATTAAACACATTACACATCATTTAAAGAAGAAGTCGTTAAATGTTACCGCTTATTTGAATAGTATTTTATGTGCTGTTTATTTTAAACGATATTGATTTTTTTAATTGCAATCATTAAATAATGAATTTATACTTGTTAGGAAGTATTCGAATTCCCAACTCCCATAAACGTTAGGGTATATGACTAGACAGACTCTCCAACATTCATTGAGAAAAACCTTTTGGGACGTGCGTGCACAATACTCGGGTTTTACGACCTTCTGCGACGCCCACAACGAAGCCCGCTGCACTGAGAGAAACGCAATTAGAGAACCGTCGAGGACTTGGTGCTGAGAGGGCTTCCACAAATGTCGACAGACGTCAGACAAACGCCGACTGCCGGCCCACACACAGATCACTTCAGGTCTGGTCTGGTTCTGGGATATGACTTCAACTTGAGCTCCAACTCCAACTCCAAAATCTCAGAGTCTGGTTGCAGGCAATTAGAGGGGAGAGACTTATAGCCAGGGTTCAGAGGTGCCAGCTTGGCTATTTGCTCTTAACCAACAGTTCTTGAAAGACCAACTACTTATGTGGAATTTTATAACTACAAACGTTTCATAAATATATAGTCTTTAGGAGTCAAACTTAACAGAAGTAGTGGTACACAATGTACTACTTAGCCTTATGTTCATATAAACCAAATTAAATGATTTTTCATAAATAGATAGATAAATTTAAATGATTCCAAAATATCTAACAATCTAACAGCAAGGAACCATCTATTTATGGAACATCTATTTATTTCCAAAAGTGTATAAAGTATAACTTGTCTAAAGTATTTCCTGTGATAACTAGCACTGACTGGGTGAGGTAATGGCATTGCCATCCAATTGGCCAATGAACCCCTCGATTATGAAACCGAACTCTGGGCGGCGGTTAATTAGATGAACTTCGTCAATTGCCTTAATTAAGACCTTCTGCCCTGCGGCAACGGAAGTGGAGCAGTGCAAAACTGACCTCTTAACTTTGGGGAATTCCAATTGGTAGTCGCACACACGAGAGAGTGTAGTTGAGTGCGTGCCACTTGGTTACAGGTCCGTTGGCCTTGTCGGCTTTATCAAAAAGTCAATAAACACCTGCCGCGGAATCTTATCAGCTCCTTAGCCGCACCATCGATATCTATTAGTATTTATTGAATAAACAAAATATGAAAGCCAGCCCAGCCAAATAAATGTCACAAGAGAAGCGATGGCGAACCGCAGAGCCCAAAAAGGTTTCCTCCGATCACAATCTTTAACAATATCGAATGAACAGACTCCCGTGGTGTTTGTGGTTGCGAGAGGTAACTCAAAGACTTGACCTGGACCCCGCCCCCTTGGCCATACACTTGTGTCCACAGATGGGAATTTCTTATTCCCCGTTTTGTTTGTTTGTCAGCCAGTTGAAGAGGCAAACAAACATCAAGACGGAAAGGGCAGCACGAAGACGGGCTGGTGACATTTGATAGTGCATGCGGTCAACTGCTGGCGATATCTTTCGGCGGGTTGGGTTCTATTTATAGGTCGATGCAATCGGTAATGCCCTGGACATGCGGCCCGCAGATGAGTGGCGTCACGTTCGGCGGCCCAACTAAATGTCAGCCACTTGCACAAGTGGTTATCTATCGGCTTTACAGCGGATTCGCCAGCTGAGCTGGTGGAATTAGCAAAACAGTGCCATCCACCCGGCCACCCTAAATGATTCATTCGCCCTACCCATGAGTATAAAATTGATATAACAAAGGCTACTTGTGGAATCCCGGTGGCCCTTATCAATCATTTAATTCCGCTTTCTGAGCTATTAAATAACTACGTTTGTTGAAGGTTTCTTACCTTGAGTCCGATTCTTTAATTTAATTTTGATGGGGTACATGCTCAGATAATAAATTTTAAAATAGCGTGCTTTGTCAATTTGACTTCTTTTGCTATTTTCTATATTTACTTTGAATATTGCAACGCGAAAGTTTAAAATTAATTAAGTTTTAAAGAAGAAAGATTGTGTACCAATGCGAAAATATCTCTTCGCTAACCAGGGGATGACTAACAAAGTTGTTTAATTTGAAATATTTTGTTGTAAAGCATTTAAAATTTGCATAGTAATTTTGATTCAACTGGGTTTTTTATTATTTTGAACACGCATATGTTTCAGATTAATATAGTATGAAGGGGAATTATTTTGTAACAACTTGAAATTGTCCTCGGTAACCAGGGGTTAACTAACAGAGCCGATAAATTTTAAATAGCATTTTGTAAGCATTTAAAATTTCCATTGTAAGTTTGATTTCAGCCGCGTTTTTCTTTATTTAGTTTTAGTATTGCCACGCAAAAGTTTCAGATTAATACTGTTTTAAGAGGTATTATTTTGCAACATCCTGAGGATCTGCTCGCTAACCAGGGGTTAATTAACAGCGCACATCAGAGTGCTTTTGTGCTAAGGGCAGCGTTATCTAATATCCGCTGTTAGCGGGCGTGCAATAATAATAAAGAAAGTCAACAAAAGAAACTCAATGCCTATGACTAATTGAATGAAAGCTCTCGGCGAGAAGGAAAACAAATGCAGCGAGTGCCCCGCCATAAGTAAATCGGCGTTACAATTTAAGTGGGTCAGCAAACCGTATGGAGCCACAGCCACCCAAAACATAAATTGCAAATCCCCGGACAGACCTTTTCTTGGCCACACTTGTATGGTAATGTGGGTCAAAAGCCCGAAATTATGTATTATCATTAAATTTCATTACAACCGACTTTTCGAGCGCTTAAATAATGTCGAAAAAATTCGGACTGCGCAAAGGCGGAATGCAAAAACAAAGCGAACCCGTTACACCGCAATTCACGCAATGCCACCACTCAGTGGGTTGTTATTTTATTTTTCCCCCCCCCCTTTTTATACAGTTATGGGAACGGAACGGAGCCGTCGAGCCACCAAATGCATTGGACCCGGCCCCATCTCAATCCCACCGAGCCAAAGAAAGCCAACTTGATGGTCTGTTCTTGTACGCATGTCCATATTCGGAGTTCGGAGTTCTTGGAGAATGCGTAGAATCTCCACACAGGAAGAAAACATAAGACGGGATTTATATTATGAGCACTGATCCTGAAAGTTTGGGCTCAATGTCCAACAACTGTCAAGCTGTACAGCTCTCTTGAGGCCAGAAATCTTTTATGTACGGAACTCAGCTTAGTATTTTCGAAACATAAGAGAATAAAATAGGATAAATAAGTTAAGAAAATACTCTTTCTTCAGTTACTTAAATTTAGATAGTTATATATTACAAGCTATTTTCTTTTTTCTGTAAAATCTTTATGAATTATGTTTTTCTCTGTGTGCACCTCCCCACCCCGCTGACTCATGTCATTTCTGCACGAAGGAGTTCAGTGATCCCGCCCGCTTACCAAAAAAGTCCTCCCATCTCTCCGAGGTGTCCGAATCGGATTCTATGTCCATCTTGGTCTTCTCCGGCTGCTTGATTTACGAGTGCGCTTGCTTAGTTTTGGCCAGGTCTTCTCTCCTGCTTGGTCGCTAAATTTAGACAACGGCTGCAGAGCAACTGACACTGAAGGAGGTCGTTATTATCGCGGCTGCTCCGGCTGCTGCATTAGATATGGCCGAAGATACAGTATCTAAAACGGGCGAATGGTGGCCAAATGACTTCACCCGGCGCACAGCGGAAAGGCAAAGCTCAATCAATGACCAGCCGATAAGATAAGCACCCGATTTAACTTTAAGCACTGGCACCGAACTGTGCGATTTTCTTTTCCGTTTGTTTGTCGTATATTTTTCGCTTCGCAGGTACGAGTATATGGCTTTATTCACCACTAGTCGCAGATATCTTATCGCGGCCTCCGAAGCACCGGGGTAGAGCAAATATCCAGCAGGTACGGAGGCATTGTGGCCAACAGCTGGCGGGCAGCGATTCGGAATGAGAATACGCGAATGTATCTCAAAGTTGCGCTCAGTTCTCGGAACTTGTGATGACTAAACCGGCTCGCGAGCTTGTGTCTCAGGGGTTATTTATTGCCTTTATTTGGGCTAGAACAAATTGTGGGGATCGACCCTGCGATCGCTGATTGAATTAAGGTAATGGGCTCTTCACTTGCCGTTCGCAAAATGAACACAAAACGAAAATTCACAAATTGCAGACAAAAGTATCTCGCGCTTCGCTGCTTTTCCAGTTTCTCCCGTGCAAATCACCTTCGCACCGTTACTTCTAATTGCGGCAAATAAAAAACACTCTCGTCTCACAGATACGGCTGCACATGCAGATACACTTGTGTATTTTCAGATATAATTTTTGATTTTCTTTCTTTATTTTTTTTTTTTTGAACGGGTAGGGGGCGGTACACAGGCACACACGCTCACTCGCTGGATCAGCTCGATCGCTCCAGGAACGACATTTCCAGCGCGCGTCTCAAATCGAACTGACTTTGTGAAAGACCCTCCGAGTCGGAAGACCCCAACAAGTTCTCTTAAGAGAGAACTAGCTCTTAACTGAGCTGTTCGCGGCATTACTTCCAACCGATCCGAAGAGCCCCAACATTGTATCTTTGTATCTTCGGAGAGCGCAACAAGTTCGAGTTGCGAGCCACAGGTAACCAGCTACCAGCAACTCCTAACAGTCGTGGGTGCATGATCGACAGCACCACCAGGTGGAAATGATGATCCACTCGTAGTACAGCTCGACTGGATAAGAAAGAAAAATATATTTTTGTATAATACTTATTCTTAATCTGAGAACTTATTTCTAATTTCTTATCAAGATTGATCTTCATTTAAGTATCAAATTTTAGTATATCAAAAATTAAAAAATCTTGGACAGTGGAGATCCAAGACAACTTACTTATGCACAAGATAACGCCTAGCAGGAGGTGCAGAGGAGCCGGTAGGTGGAAGTAAAAAAACACAGCCAATGCAACAAGCAACGCCACGCCCACCAGACCGATGACGAAGGACAAGAGAATGGCCCAGCACATATCCTGCTCAATTGGGTTGGGATCGGGTTGGAAAATGTACATCTAAAAGGTTAAAAACCCAAGTATCCACTCACCCACATGGTGCCAAAGAGCAGAAATACTTTGGCCAGGGCGTAGATAAGGGCGAAGACCATCGCTAGAACCATGAGCATTACATTGGAGTTTCCCGTGATCAGCTCGAACAGACCCACAGAGAAGATTACCACGGCCAGGATCATCCCAGTGAAGCCGATGAAGATGCAGCCGATGTAGAGCGACAAATAGCCGCAGAACACGCGCAGACACATTTCGATTTCCCCTGTCTTTTGACTAGAAATCACAAGCACATATTTCACTAGAATTTTCAATTAAATTTAGGCTACAAACGGGGCACCGACTTACATGTTGACATCAAAAACAGGCTAAGTATTTGAAGTTATGGATTATTGCTTAAGCTTACATAAATTGCTAATGTATTTAATAAAAAATACGATTTTTTATTTAATCAAATTTTATGGTTATTTTAGTTTGGTTTAAATGTAAACAATTTAAACATAATCGTTCTTTACATGCATTTAAAAGTTCGCGCTCAAAAACCAACCAGCTGTTTCAGTTATCGATAATAAATCGACGACTGGTCTGTAACCTCGCAAGTCTATCGTTTCCAATTGGCATCCAACTAACTGAAGCATAAAGTAAATAATGGATATAGCCGATCCGCCTCCGAATAAACGAGCCCGGAAATCGCCCAACCTGGAGGAAGACATCACTGGGATCCGCGCCATCCTGTCCGATGAGTTCGACGAGGACATAGCACTGATCAAGGCGCATAGTTGCCAGCTGGAGACGAAGCAGCAGCTCCAGGCGGTAATCCAGGAGCTCTCCCAGAAGCTGCCTCACTTCCAGCACCTGAAGCGCGTCCACGACCGCAGCGTGCTCATCTGCCCCAGCTCGGAGATCGGGGCATCCCTGGAGCAGCACCTCAAAAAGTTCGCCTTTTCGGAGCACGTGCTCCGAGCCCTGTGCCAGGGAGTCCGGGTGGTGGAGGTGCCGGAACGGATGCCCCGGCTGCGGGTACAGTACGAGAAGACCCTCAAGCACTGGCCCTGCAAGTTTCACCCGAATCACTACTCCGAATCCCTCCGAAACGGCAGCAACTTCAGCACCGCTCAGCGCATCTTTCACAAGAGGATGGGCCAATTGCTGGTGAGGCTCTCACGGGATGTGAACGCCAACCGGCCTGTCGGAATCTGCGTGGATCCACGACAATCGAATATTGTGTCAATCGCTGGACCCGGAGAATCCCCCAGCCCACACGAACATAGCAGCATGCTGCTGGTGGATTTCGTTGCCCGAAGTCAAGAAGGCGGAGCCACAAAGGCGGAGCTTCCATTCATTGAGGATTCCAAGGAGGTGGAAACTACTCTGCGAGGCATTCCCAAAGCCTACTACGATTACCTGATGAGAGATGAAGAGTACAAAGACCTGACATTCGGAGCGGAGAGGTCGAGGAATTGTAAGGAAGTTAACGCCGATCAGGGAGCGGACAACCTGGCTAAATTCGGACCGTATCTGTGCACCGGCTACGATGTCTATCTGCTGCAGGAACCCTGCCTCATGTGCTCCATGGCCCTGGTTCACAGCAGGGCGAAAAGAGTGTTTTTCCTGCGAAACTCGGACAACGGAGCTCTGGCCACGCGATTCCAGCTGCACTCGGTGCGGGAACTCAACCATCACTACGAGGTGTTTCAATTCACCACCAAGGAAGACGAGGAACTGACGTAACGTTTAACAGAGCTTGATTTAATAAAGGATTTATAGGATATCTTCGATTTTTGGCGTTGTTCTGGCCGTCGACTGACGGGTGGGCGTGGACAGGAGGCCCAGCAGTTGGCAATCGGCCTCCAAGATGGTAATGTCCTTGGACGAGCCCAGGAATTTGGTGGACAGCTCCAGGTCCTTGATGCGCAGACGAACGCGAGCCCCTCGGACATAGTCACTAGGGAGGGAGGTGGGTTAGATGAATGTAGGAAATGGAAATGAAATCCCTTGTACTCACCTGGCATTCCGAGTTGGACGACTGCAGACGCAGTGGAACTTCCAGCCAAAGTCTATGTACAGGTCATCGCCCACCACATGGAATATCTTGCCGCTCACCACTTTTCCTTCCGCGTTGCCCAGCTGCTCCAGAGATCAAAGGGTTATTACATAAACAAGGGGATTACTGGGATGGAACTCACATCTATTAACTTAGAGTTGCGGAGCAGGGAGGCGAAAGTCTGGTTGTCCTCCGGCAGTTGGGCAGGCGTAGCCGGAGCCGTGTACTTGTCGAAGGCACGGGCAAATCCTCCCTTGTTGCTACCGATCTCCGCCGGATTCTCCACGGGAGCAGCTCCCTCCGCCGGTTTTTCCGTTTCACCGCTGATTAGTCTCATGGCCACTGGCAGCCGACGGTGGCAGGTTAAGGAACCCATCTGGAGAGCGGATCTACTTAGTTTTTGAAGCAGCGACATGGTTTTTATTTAATATTTTGTAATAAATATCCACAAGATCCAGGCCAATTGGAAAAACAAAGAGGAAGAGCGGTATCGATAGACCGCCAATCGATTGAAAAGCAGCTGGTTCGGCTCATCACTAATCCGTATTACAAAAAACACGCTGCCGGCATTTATTTTGATATTACGAAATCGGTTGTTAGGCACAGGGAATTGATTATTGGCCAGCAAAATGATCCAGCAACAGCGCCAAAGAATCGAGGCCGCGGTCACGGAGATGATTGACGACATGGACAAGACACACCTACGCAAAATGCAGGTAAGCAGAGACCTCTAAAGAAAGAATCCTGAAATTGACTCGGTTTTCACCCAACACCAGAACGAGATGCATTTGTGTGCGGCCAAGTGCTGTCAGGATGGAACCTCCAGCGTGGACAGCGTCCAGAGGTGTGTGGACCGGTGTTCCACGCCCATGACGAGGGCCCAGAACTACGTACAGCACGAACTGGGGGAGTTCCAGGGCAGGTTGCAGCGTTGCGTCATGGTCAGTACTCATTGCATCAACTTGTTGCTCCACCGACAAGATTGTCTTATCCCTAGGGATTTTGTTGAATGATAATAGTCTCTATCAAATGGCCAAGTCTTTTAAAACTGGAATAGGAATATTACAATTGCTAGACAGAAATATTTGTCATGAATTATCCCATTGAAAATAATCATTACAAAAGCTTCTGTCTTTCAGCATAAGGCAGTTGTATTTAATAACTATAATTATGTACAAGTTAACTTTTTAAATGAAGGACCACTTTGATTTATAAATTTGTAACAGTTTTGAATAATGGATCATTATTTACAGAGAAGCTATAATTGTCTTTAAAATACTTTTTGAGTAAAACTTAGATATATTTTTCAAGAAGAGAGAAAAAGAAATACCCTAAGAATTTACACTCGAATAATAAAAAATCCAAATTTCCCTCCGCAGCAATGCAATGACGACGTGAAGGTGAAAATGCCGCCCAATCCCAACGAGGACCAGATAGCCAAGTACACCGACCAGTTCGAGCGCTGTGCCATCCAGTGCGTGGACAAGCATGTTGGCCTTATTCCCGGCATGATGAAGACCATGAAGGCTGTGCTCTCCAAGGGACCCGAGAGCATTCCCCAAGTCTAGCTCAACCTGCATTTACTACCTAATTAGTTGTTGAACTCGTTTATTTTTAAACCGTGCTATGTTTACCATCTCTAAAGTCATTTCGCATTTCCCTTTTCACTTTTAAGAATTTAAAAATCAAATTTCCTTATTAGTTGTTAAAGGTCTTAAGTACCGATCAAATGTAGTGTAAACAATCTCTGGAATCATGTCAAATTTTGCCATTACTTAAAAAATACAAATACTTTGTACACCGAAAACTGTCACCCACATTTAGTTTTGTTTTCTGTTTCAAAATTGTTAAAATTCCAAATAGCAATGGTGGAGCAGCAGAAAAAGCGACTGGAAGACGCAATCAGCGGTATGATCGAGGACATGTACCGCACCCACTTGCGCAGGATGCAGGTGAGATTGGGCTCTTTAGTTGGCTATTATGAACTCCTGGTAAGAATGATGTCCCCAAGTCCACAATGCACCGCTGTGCTGCCCGTTGCTGCGAGGATGAGCGAGGGACGCTGGAGAGCGTGCAGAACTGCATCGAGAAGTGCGCCGGACCACTGATGGATGCACAGGACTATCTGCAGCACGAGCTGGGCCAGTTTCAGAACCGCCTCCAGAATTGCGTCAGGGTAGGACAGTAATATAATCGGGCTTCTAAACCTTTTTGTTCGGTATTGTAGTTATAATAGAATTCATTGATCGATGTATTTAGCCCCCATTAGAGTATGTGCTTGACTACTTTAGTTTACAGCCCAAATGCCTCAAAACCTTATGTGGCAGATTCTGTAAGAGCTTGTCCCACGAATTACGAAGATGCCATTAAAAATGTTTCGAGCTTTTGAGTTTTTATACCCGTTACTAGTACAATAAAGGAGAATACTAGATTCGTTGGAAAGTATGTAACAGGTAGAACACCCTGTAAAGTGTGTATATTCCTGATCAGGAATACTAGCCAAGTCGATCTAGCCATGTCCGTCTGTCCGTCCGCATATATAAATTTATAAACGCTAGAAAGTTGGGTTTTGGCATGTACGTAGGTTTTTGAGCTTCTTGCGCAGTACAAGTTTATTTCAGATGGATGCCACACCCATAACGCTAGGATCGGTCTAGCGCCTACAGTTTTTTGTGTTTTACCCTGAGTTGATCTACCTTGTAGCAGTGGATCGCTTCTTTTTCAGTTGTGTGCAACTTCAACCCACCGCACAACAATATTCGAAAAAATGCGACATTTTACATTTAAAATTTTGAAAGCTCTTAAAGAGCAAGAAGGAAGGCAAGCTTCGGCATGTCAAACGTTATATACCTTGGCAGCTTAAGCCATATCATGCTCTTTAAATCATACGTATATTACAAATAGCTTATATTCGGAAGATTTGTATTGAATATACCGATAATTTCAATAAGAACTAAAAAGCGTTATTATTAGAAATTCTTAGAACTTAAAAAAGGATGTAACCGAGAGTAGAAGAGAATTGAAGAAGATCAAATACAACAAAGATTTTCTTACGGTAGCTTTATATTATAGTGGTGGAAAGATTCTTCCCGGTATCTTCTAAACTTAAAGAGACTACTTTGCGAAAAAAAACTGCCAGACGGACACGGCTAGATCTACTCGTCTAATGATATTGACCAAAAATATTTATGTAAACCTTATTGGGTCGGATACGGCTTCTTCATTGCGTTGTAAAATTCTGACTGAAATCATAAAACCCTCTGCAGGGTATAAGATATATGCTAACAAACAAATTTTGGTTTGTGTTCTAATGTCTAGAGAACCTGTGGTATACAGTTTTCAAGATATAGATAAGAGTTTGCGTTAAACAAAATGCCTGTCACCTGCACTGCTGTGTACAACATTTTTTCGAAGTCACGTTTTCAAATGTACAGATAAGGATTTCAATTGCAATCCGACTTTTGAGTTCTTAAATGAAATATAAATATAACCACCGAGAACTGGGTTTAAAAGAACTTTAAAAATCTCATCTGAGTCTTTTAAACTTCAGATATTTTATAGTACTTCAAGCTTCGATGGCCGAAGATAGGCAACCTTTCCCCATTTAATTCGGTTGATAATCCGCAGGACTGCAACAGCGACGCCCGGGCCCGCCTGCCCAGCAATCCGAATGACCGGGACATGTCCCGATCCCAGCACATGTTCGAGAGCTGCACGGGCGGATGTGTGGAGAAGCATATAAACCTAATTCCTGGGCTGCTCAAGTCGATCAAGCAGACGCTGGACAGAGGTCCCCCCAAGAGATCACGTAACATGGACATAGACGCCTAACCAAGCGACTATTCCCCTTTCCTTCCAGTATCGATCCACATTAAATACTCCAGTCGAGAAGCTGTCATTGATACACTTATTTATTTATTGAATATTTTTGGTACAACTAACACTTAAGATACTCTAGACGAAATTGTAACCCGGGGAAGGCTTATCGGAAGAGGGCTTATCAGGGCCACGTGGCCCGCGTCTGCCTGGCTGAACTCCGAGCTCCCGGATCTTCTTTTGGGCCCTAGCTCATTAAATATCTAGTAATAAAGATTCTTAGTAATATGCAACAATACGAGCAACTATATTTTTGAGGATCTGGCTGGGTCTACTGCTCGTTCTGCTTCGTCCTCACGCCGTACTTGCTCCAGAAAGTCACCTTGGCGGTGGTCTTCTTCAGGTTGTCCTGGAACACGGAGCACGTGTCGAAGGGCGGACAGTAGAGGTGTAGGGAGACGGAGGTGTCCGAGTGGCTGGGATTCTCCACGCGGTGCAGGCCCAGATTGTCTATAAACAAATAAAACCCCCATCCAGTAAGTAAACGAAATCCCCGTGTTTTGTAGATTATAATTTCCTCACCATTTATGTAGGCCACATCATTGACGGCAATGGGAGTCTCGCCAATCTCCACCAGCTCCCGGCTATCGATCTCGCCATCGGGATGATGTGATCGGCCGGTGTCCCTGGCAGTTCTATTGGGGTACTCATAGCGCTTCTCGCGCAGATCCCCCTTCAGCATCTTCATGAAGCAATGGGAGTCGGCATGGTCGTGAACCGATGAGCCGTGACCTTCGCCCCAGCAGAGGATCAGCAGATTGAACTTTCCGTTGCCAGCATCCACCAAGTTCCGGGTGTACGTATAACGATCGAACTTGGCGTACTTGCGCCACTCCCGCGGGTTGGACTTGTAGGTGAGCATCAGGTGATTCACCATCTCAATGTTGACGTAGTTGGACTCGAACTCCCGGTGAAGGGCGGCCACCAAGTCCGTCAGGGAGTCCACCGCGGGTCCGTACTTCAGGGGCTTCTCCAGGGCGCAGTAATAACTGGTAGCCTGGCGCAGGTACTTCTCCTGGTCAATCTCCTCGATCTCGGAGTCGATCTTGGACAGGGCCATTTTTGGTTTGCTTTGATTGACCTACGGTTCGGAGGAAAAACGGGGGATAGGTTGTGCATCAGTTAAAGCTGAAGGGCGTGGAAAACTACCTATTTAGTCTATAGAGTTCAATTCTCAATTAATTTAGATGAATTACGTTGTAAAGTCGATGATCGCTGCTGATAGCTAAAGACTGTCTATAGGGGTGTATATTCCGCTTGATTGCTGTTGGAAAATATTAAATTAATTCTGGTAATCGCACACGCTTCTCCTCGGATTGCAAAATTCGAACTGAACTGACACCCCGATTTCTGGAGATTTCGCTCTCCTGCCCAGTCTATATAGATTATATAGTCAGATCGGACGTAAGTCGGAGGCGTAAGTCCGAAGCAATAACAAAAAACAAGAAGTCGCCGGCGATAATCGCCCAGCCCCTTATCAATAGCAGATTTTGTCTATATATGTCTATATAGATAGATCGAATGTTGCCAGGAGTGGCTCAACAGATGCGCCTGAAATTCTGACAAAAGGTTAACAGCGTTCTAATGGCAGCGATTGCGAATAAAAAACAAATTTATTTTATAAATTGGTCCCAAAAAATATAGGGCTATACGGGCAATGTCACTGATACTGATAGCTAGTTTAATCTGGTAGCTGACGCATTGCTTGAAGATCTACGGGTAGGACGACCCATCTATATTTCTATATTTTTATCAGCTTGGACGGTCAGGGACTTTCCCTGGAACGCAAATCTATTATGGCTCAAAAAAACCCTAAGAAAAATAACTTTCCCCGAATATAGAATAATTATTATAGTCGATAGATACTTTTAGTTCCATTGATGCATTGCAGTTAATTGCCTACTTTCAGGTTTGTCTCTAATTTCTTTTAATTGCCTGCCATTAAGTAGTGTCACAATGCATTTGAGAGCTCTTTGTGATTCAGGAAGTTCATTAGTGACTAACACACTGACCCTACTTTCTCCATCAATAACAACTGAGTAACCAAAAGGGTTCTTTTTTTGTTCTCAAACTGAAGTTGGGAAGGCGAGTAACCCCTAAATGCGTATTATATAACTTTCGGTAAAACTCAAGATAAAGAAAACACTTTCCATCTTGGCTGCAATTTCAGCAAGTGAACTTGCATTAGAGGTAATAACTTTTTAACGATCCCCTAGCCATGTTATTAAATATTTTCCCCCCAGTGCCACATCAAGGTGTTTCGGTTCGGTATTTGAAAAATGTTTTGCAATGGCCAAAAAGCATAAAACTGCCAGCTTGGCAGCCAACTTTCGCAACAGGTTAAGGCCAATAGCAAAGTCAAAGCAAAAACTAAAAGCTGCGAACTGCCATTTGTGTAAATATTAGGCGAACATACAGTTTGGAAAATTGGTGGAAGGAAAGCCGGGGTCTAATTTCGTAGCAGTTCAATAAACTAAGCTTGCAGTTGCATTTACAAATTTTAAAACCGCCTAAGCAAGGAAATTGGCCTTGAGGGACTTTAAGGATAAAGGACTTACCATTTTTGGTGTTTTGTTACACTTTCTTCTTAGATAGAAGGCTTAAAAATTGGGGTTGATCTTCAAAATTCACTTTTTAAAAATACTTTCGAGCCAGGACTTGGACTTGCACTTTTTTCGATGTTTCACTGGGTAGTTGCCACTTGGATGCGCGCCGCCGGGTTTGTGTGCCTGTTTTGGGTATCTTTCACCAATTTATGGAGATCTTGGCCAGCAAAGCCCCCTTTTCCACTCAAAACGCAATTCGAGTGACAAAAACGACGCCGGCAGAGGCATCGCAGCTCGAATGGCATTTTGAGTCATTTTTGAGGCCGCGAGCCAAAACTCAAAGCGGTTTCACTCGCCGCAACCTGGCTTGTTGTTGTTTACTCAGTTGGCCAGGCCCGAAATTTATGCTACCATGCCATACCGCCATGTCGATCCGAGGTTGAGCGGCCAGATATTTTAATACATTTCTCCCCCGGACCAACTATTAATTATTGGGACGTGCTGTTTTTTTCTGTCTTTGTTGGTCTTCTTTCGTATTTGCGTTTTGGCCCAGAGAAATGGCCGCGAGCCTTTTGTCAAAGCCATTCGACGGAATTCTCTAGCAAAAGTTTGGCCTGGGGTCAAAATGATGAAAGGTCTTATCAAATTGCTTCAGCTCCCCACAATAATTGTGTGTCAAGTACTGCTTGCCAATATTTGTTTAGCTCGAAACACTTGGCCTGACACAATTTCAATCATTTTGAGTGGAAATACATTCGCTGTAACATGTTTTTATTGGGTTAATTTTAATTTTCTAAGATTATCTATTTTTATAAATATAAAATTGTTTACCTATTATTCTTTAATAACATTTTGAGGTACTCTCTTTTACTTTATTTGGAATTCGGTTTCAAATCATTGAAATTGTAAGTGTATCTCGGAGATGTCAGATATTTTTACCGCCGCACCACCGCCATATTAACATATTCAATCAGTTCGTGGCTTTCTAACCAGGTTTATTCAACTTTGAACTATTCTTTTCGCATTCCAGGCCCACTATGTAAATCATTTGCATATTTCCAAAACACTTTAAGACGAACATTCATCTTTGTTTTCGTGTTTCGCCTTGAATAATGCAGCTAATAACAATATCAATGACCGACGGGGAATCAAAAACAATATTTTCATATTTGTCAACCATAAAAGTGGGAATTCTAAAATGAGAACAATATTTGCGCATTTAAATGACTGTTTCTTATCAGCGAAAAACGTATTATACGAACCAACAGAGGCCAAAGGTTGCGACTTGTAAATTACCGGAAATACTGAGCTCCAATATTCAATTAATTGCCGTGTTCATTTGAAATAGCAATCCTTTTTTTAATTTGCATCTTTATATATTTCTTACATTTATTTTGTCATTGATTTCATTCGATTGATTCACAATTTCCCTTATGACTAGATAAAATACACGCAAATATCAATATACACACATTTTTGGTTTAGACATTGGACACTAAATGCTATAAAAGCTGAATTAATAAATTCTACGGAAAATTCAAGGATTTAACTTGAAGGTTCGATAAGCTGGATTACGCTTCTTTTAAAGGCAATTTGTATTAATTGAATGCATCAGGCTAATCTTCATCTTCCTCAGACATATCAAATTCGTCGTCATCAAAATCGATTATCTGTAAGAAATACATATATATTATAAATTGCTTGTTTAGATTAAATAGTAGTGCCTCAAACCTCGCTGTTCAATCGCTTGAACTCTGAGATCCCAGTCAAATCCTCCAGATACTTGGCTGTTTCGAATGTTTTAAAGAGGAATGCATTTCCCTCCTTTTTATATGCATTTAAGACTGGCTGTAAAAATCCAAGTATATAAAACGTTAAAATAAATAAAAGTTAAATTTTTCTTTTCATATTATCTATAATCAAATATTTTAACAAGATGGGAAAGTTCTTACCGCTGAGCACGCGATGCACTGAGCAAACTTTTGAGTAGCGGGTAGGATATTCTCATAGTTGCAAAGCATTCCCCGAATGGAGTGAGGTAGAATGCCCAGTAGACCTTCTGGCACCTTGCCTGCCGCCTCCTCCGATTTGCCACGCCCACTCTGCGCATAGTAGGCAGGTGCTAGTTCCTTTCGGGGATGCTGGAGCAAAGCAACCAGCAACTCCACCGCATAGCTAGCAGCAATGTTGGATACTCCGGGTCGCGTCACGGTGCATTGCTGGTCCAACGTGCGATCTTTGAGGGACTGAAAAGTGGATGATATAAAATATTATTAATATATTGATATGCTATAACCAATGTTCATCATTATTACTTAAACTAGAGGAATTACGTATAATATTCTGTGAAGCAAGGCTAGTTCAAGTAAATCGCGCCGTACAAACTGAAGACCATGCAACCTACAACACACTTCAATTTAAAACAGACTTTAAATATGTCTCATCATATTTCATCTTTTTAAACTATCCTTGAATTGTCC